AAATTATATGTGAGTTTTGCATTGTAATTGTAAAGACAACCATTTTCCACAAAAACACAGTATAACATAGCAAGAAAACAGCATCCAGATTATGTTGTACAAATCATTAATCGTACACAGTGCAAACAGCTTCAAAGCAATACCAGATGTGAATGTATTTTGTCGCTTGATAATAATAGTACACGCAAGAGGATTCATAATACGAGTAATCTAAACAATCGGAACGTTCCTTATGAAAACGTCGATTAAATAAGAATGAACATTCATTGCGAAAAAACATGTGAAATATAAACTCACTGTCATCTTATTTAATCTTTCTATCGAAAGAGTTGGTAATAAAATTTTGTCTTCCTCACTGACTTTAATGAAATTAGGCTCATTCCATTCGTTTTTGCACGACAAAGATGAATTTGAAAGAAAGCGTCACTCTAACTTGTAGACCAACATATTAATTGTTAAAACGACTACTCAGGTTAGGAAAAGTGTCAGCCACGAATACTATGAAGCGAGCATGCGCTATGGTCACATTTCTTTGCAGCATGCTCTATGGCCACATGAGTATGAGTTTTTGGTATTTCTCGCTACAGGATGTAACTTTACAATGACCTAGTTTCCACCGAGGGTTAATCCGGATCAGAATGTAAAAACCAACCAATCATAATCAAGTATTTCCCTGTTACAATCGAATGACAGGGAATGCTCGAGTTGATTCTTATTCAGATTAAACCCTCTGTGAAAACTAGGCCAATGCGTTTAATTTAACTGACCAATCGTATTTGTTATTTAGTAGAATTGACTAGAGATCCTGAGGGAGTGTTTATATTGGCCATAACCATATGTCATAATCTTTAAGAATTGACTAATCACAGTCAAGATAGTCGGCACGCGTCTACAGTCCACTTGATGCTACATGTTCGAAGTATTTTTTGATTGGTCAATCAAATGCTTCGAAGCATTTGTAGCGTCCAGTGGATCACACCCTCTATCCTGAAGATTTAGTATAGAGACGAACCACATTTATTTTTGACGATACGATTTTATCGATAGTGTCAGAAAATATATGTAATTACGTAGTCCTCAAACTGAAAATGGATGTACTGGCGGTAGTGTATGCGATTTCGATGTGGAAAAGGCCAGTCTCTCTTAGGTTTTTCTCTGCTTCCGCAGATGGAATGCGCAAGACGTACCGGAAAAGTGCGCGTAAGCGCGCTGGCGATCAAATCAAGAAAAATTTATTTCAAAAAGATAAGAAATTTGGTATAAACTCGTGAACATGGACACATAAGGAAATATCGTTGCCGATCATGAAACATAGCCTTTCTTACTCTTTTGTACTTTGGAAATTATGAATCGCGGCATCATTACATCTAATCTCATGCGATTATTCACGAGCCTTTGTCGCTATAGTGAAATTACGTGCCGACGATTATGTTATCGTCCTCGAGGGCACTTTTATCCGTTGCCGACGCGTTGTCGCGGTGAGTATTCTAACCAATGGATCAATCACAACCTTGCTTCGACTGCACTCTTCTGCAAACCTCGGGCGCAGATCCGTGAACTGCAAACAATGTGGCCTACCTATAAAGAAAACGAAGAAAAACAAAAGAACGGTTTTCTCGTAGACGCGCAAGAGATGATTCTCGTATTAGCGAGGATTGCGATTATAAGCACGGTTATCACCATCCTGCTTATCACATACTTGATTACACGCTTGACCTATGCGAATTTGTTTCCCATCATCCTACAAAAAGGTAAACAAAATGTTAGCAATAGTTATCAATCATATTAAAGAATCACTAAGAGAATCGCTAACTGATTAGTTTTTCTTTGCTGAACACAGCCAATATCTATGAATTCCGCCCTTATATTTTTAGACTGTAAGAATTGGGTTTTGCTCAATTCACTTAAATCTAATGGGCCTTCTACAATAAGCTATTAGTCATAAATCAGATGTCAAAAACTAAAAATTGATGATTGTGATTATGATTAATTTTTAGATTCTGACTTCTGATTTAGGGAGCATTTATATTGGCCATAATCGTATATGTCATAATCTAAGAATTGAATACTTGACTAATCACAGTCAAGTATTCCTCTCTCATTCGGCAGTAAGAAGGGAATACTTGAAGGTGATTGGTCAATTTTTATAGATTACGGCATATAATTACGGCTAATATAAACGTTCTCTTATGATTAATGGCTTAAGATAAATTTTCACGAACTGCTCAAACCGGCTGTTTTAATGACAAAAAAGATTACGTGTTAGTCGTCAAAATTGGCGAATATCAAGAGTTTTGATCACATCATCGTTTTATTGCTGAAACAGTTGGTTAGAGCAGCTCGCGAAAATTTATCTCTATTGGCTGCGGTCGATTTGAAAATTTTCAGCGCTTTTCAGTACTTCTATTCTTATTTTAGGTCTAATGAACGATAATGACAGAATGATAATTACAAGCGCTTGAAGCGCGTCCAAATTGACTGCAGACATTATAGAAGGTCCATAAAAGTATATTCACACAAACTTGCATAATTGCATAAATTTATGCATAAAGAAAATTATCCAATCACATTTTACGTGCGTCTTTATAGAAGAAATGCGATTTGATAATTTTCTATATCCACACAACTTGCCACATAAACATCTGTATAAGAATCAACTCAGAATCTTTCCTTTTCTCCCATTCCATGGAAAAGAATAATTTTAATTGATTGATTTCCTTATACTATGCATTATGCGTTATGCAAGAGTCTGTGCTGCGGGCATAAGCACAAACGGGAAGACTTGAAATTATTCCCTAATAAATCCCAAAGAATGTAAATTACAGAATACAACATATATTAAAAAATATTAATAAAATGATTTTTAATCTAATGAGAATTTGCATCGACTACTATATATATGTCATTCGAAATGAGACGATCAGTAGATTTTCGTTTGCGAAAGAGAATCTTGTTGCAAAGAATAATTCAAGAAAAGAAGTCGTATTTTTCCGCAGGTATCGAGTTCCTCGGACCAATTTTCGTCAAGTTCGGTCAATGGATTTCCACGCGATGGGATGTCTTTCCGCGGGATATTTGCGACACGCTTTCGCAACTACAACGAAATGCGACACCGCATTCATGGTTGTATACAGAGCATCTACTCGAAGCGACATATGGCCCTTCCTGGCAGAATTTATTTGTGAAGTTTGACGGCAAGGAACCAATTGGCTCAGGATGCTGTGCGCAGGTATGCAGCCCTAGAATTTTATATATTATATGAAGATGTCATGCAAGATTACATGCAAGCGTCAAGCGTCGAGCATCTGCGCAAAAGATTACTGCTGATTACTGCGCAGAAGTTTGAATCTCCAGACTCTGCGTAATAATCTTTTGCGCAGCTTCTTGACGCAAAATGATAAATTATGAGAGGTTATGTTTTGATATACATTACTATCCTAACATATAATGCTTAAAATTTATATTTATTTATATTAAACAGTGTAAACTACAAGATTCCATTATTAGCATTTATTTCTCGTACATTATTATCTCGTACATTATATCTCGTACATTAAATTAGCATTGTTCGTTTTGTCTCTTGGGAACTACTCGGAATCGCTTCGAATGAACCCCGCGTAGGAAGGATTTTTAGGATTCACACTATGTATTCGACATTCATCGTATATAATAATGAATGTCAAATGTCATATGATATTGTAGTGTGAATCCTATATTTCAAGTACACTGGGTATCATTCGGTATTTCAATTACAATAAAATTATTAAACATATCTGCACATACCTGCGCATGCGTTGACGCTCGATGCTGACATGTAACGGCACCTTGAGAGAAGCGACATCGGCGTCATGATTTCTGGTGATATCCCTTATCTAATTAAAGTTGCCATATTGTGCCCACAGTGGAAAGTTATCATCTGTTTCCTTTCTACTAATTGTCTGATATATATACACATACCTAGGTATACAATATATCGTTTATCTTTTTATGTGACATTTGTAATTGCATTACACTTAATCGTTACATTATTCTACAATAAAAACATTAATACTTGCTTAATCTTATCCTGACGGAGTTTATGATTCTTATAATAGAGTAAATGGAGTATGACGGAATTAGTCAACTAGAGCGGGCCAAACATGGCAGTGCTGAACATATGCTAGAGGTGGTAGTAAGAATGAATGTCGTTTCTCTCATATATAGGATTCTATGCAGAGATAAGATGGGCGCGAGTAGAAGATAGATTCGCACATGATGTAAAAAGACAGGTATATCATTATATATGATATCACGTGTCATAACGGTCGTAGTGAGACAAGAATTGCCTAGAAATGCAGAGCGAAATGGAGTAAATGTACAGCAGTGCAGTGGATTACTTTGGATATGGTCAACACGATGCTGCAAACGCTTTGAAGCGTTTTTTAATTAGTTTGTTTTTTTTTAATTAATTTGTTGAATTAATCAGTTTGTAAAATTCTTTCTTCTAATTGGTCGCATCAAAAACATTTGTAGCGAGACTTTGACCATGGCCTTTGCAGCCATATAGAATTCTGACATTCTGGACAATTTCTGATTGGCTTTTTACTTTAAATGACTGCACATCCATGGGAATGGTACATCTGTTCTTTTATGTCATGGATTCGCATATACTTGTCGCATACGAATTAGATATACATTTGCGATGGAATGAACGTTATTTGCGCAACTTTTCATCGTCCAAAATTGATTTAGGTGTATAAAGCATGGATCGATCAGAATGCAACATGGGAGTCTCAGATATCGCATTTCGCGGATAGTAAGTTCAGAAATATTTTTATCATTTTCCTTGCGCACATCTAACATCGCCGCGGTAAAAATCACACAGGCGATTTCGCGAAAAATCACTTTTGTTATAGTTTCATCTAGAATAACGAAGCATTCATATTTAATATTTGAGTCTATTTGGATAGATTTAAATTAGCATTGTTCGTTTTGTCTCTCGGGAACTACTCGGAATCACTTCGAATAAACCCCGCGTATTTGAAGGATTTTTAGGATTCACATTATGTACGATATTCGACATTCATCGTAATAATGAATGTCAAATGTCATATGATGGATATTATAGTGTGAATCCTATATTTCAAGTACACTGGGTATCATTCAGTATTTCAAGTACGCTGAGTATCATTCGGAGTGTCTCCGAGAGATAAAACGAATTATATTGGGTTATTCGGAAAGTTCGTGCCGCAAAAGATTTAAATTTAATAAATGTATACTAAAATTTAAGTCTTCTGCGTTTCAATTTTCCTTCAAAATCGGCACGAACTTTCCGGACAACCCAATACTATAGCTGTATTAAGTAAGTGGTTCAACAATGAACCATGTAAATTTCAGAGGCTTATATCTCTTTCAATTATTGAATTGAAGATCTGAATTTTGGCATATAGTTTATGAATTTTAATTGATTACATATTATAAACAATGATTTTTAAGTTATTTTTTTAATTTAGCCACAATTTCGATTATTTAAAAAATCGGGAAATGATTCATTGTGTACAAGGGATGTGGACATAAAATGAAGGCTATTTTTAATAATAAACTATACGTTTTATATTGCAAATTGTTGAGATTATTTTAGTTTTGCTATATTTTAAAATTTATTTATAAAATAGATAATTATAAAATGGTGAGGATTCACAAAGCCGAGCACCGCGTTTTTCTTCCGTTTTGAGTGAAAACGCGTCAAATAAATATATTTTTATTGAGATTTTAGATGGGGGGAAAAGCTGTATTCTAAATAATTATTACAATGAATTATTATTTTGAAGATTATCATAAAAAAGGTTATGTAGGCTACAATATACCATGATTCATTGTTCACTACGTCAAAATGATTCGTTATAGATCACTTAATTTTTTCCATGATAATCTCCTAAATAATGTGATAAAATAATATAATAGAAAAAGTTGCTTACAGAATAATAAAGCCAAATGTGCATACAAAATTATTACATAATGAAAAAAATGATAGACATAACAACAAAAACATAAAAAGTGCGTAAAACTTACGAAAAAAATTTTGCAATCCAAAATTCTTAAAATGTGACATGATCATCCTTGGCGCGATCTGCCAATCGACTGAGGAGCCGAGGAGGGGTTCAAATGCGAGTAGTTGCATGATAGCAGCACAATCTGATAACGTTCAACAATCTGATTACGAAATAATAGTTCATAATGTATTACTGGTTCACTGTTGAACTATCTACCCTATACGTGCAAAGAAATCAGGTCGGTCACAGTTCTATAATGAACAATGCGATATTATTGAAATGTTGTTTTAAAACATTTTTAACGAATGGCTTTTCTCTTATGATATGTTTGAATATATAGAAATCGAAATGAATGTTACGATTGCTAACCCAACGAGAAATGAATCGATATTAAATAAATATCAAAGTTAACAAAGTCCGTCGAATCAAAATGTTGCTCTAAATTTGAAGCTTATTTCGATGTCTGTTTTATAAACGTTGTTTACAAGAAGATATATTCAATGCGCTAGACTCATAAATTGTATAGTTTAATTTTGTTATGATTACTTCATTATTTCGATATTAAAGCGAATTTATTTCGATTTGCTTCAAAAACAAAATTTTTTTTAATGAAATTAATTTAAGAAAGGCTCAATTAATTTGAAAAATTAAAATACTCGTGCCTGGCGCCAAATTTGTATGTGCCATAGTCTCGATTGACAACTTCGTCGCGTTTTATATTGTCATTATTCAACAGTCAGTGATTTCATATCGATACTTCAAGTCAAGCTAGTAGCTAAGCAGAATTATCGCGAAACTTTTCTAACTTAAGTTGGGCGCCAGGCATGGTGAACGTTCCACTCATCTTCGTTACTTTTCTAAATTTCTAATGATTATTCTCAATTGCGACGGACGATGCAATGAGCAGAGATAGTGAGTTATTCGGAGCGGGAATAAATTGGAAGAGAAAATATAAGAACTAGTGCTTCTTAATAATAAAAAAATAACAAGTTTATATATATATATATATATATATG